AGTGGAAGTGGAAACAATTAAGGGAGTGGAAGTGGAAACAATTAAGGGAGTGGAAGTGGAAACAATTACGGGAGTGGAAGTGGAAACAATTACGGGAGTGGAAGTGGAAACAATTAAGGGAGTGGAAGTGGAAACAAAATGAGAAGCAGAAGCGGAAGCGGAAACGACGGCGGTAGCTGGATCGGGAGCCAATGCGGAAGCGTGGGCAGCCTGTGACGAAGCTGTGCCGTTGGCGAGGCGAGACGACATCGAGTCCCGCTTCCTGGCTTTCTCCTCTGTAGACACGAACTCAAACATCAGTACACTAGGCAGTCATAATTCGAATGCTGTTTTGTCAGGAAGTATAATATACTGCTAAAATCTGACGTACTCACAAATAGAAAACTCTGTGCTCTCACGCGTACATTTTACTTGTGTGGCGGATGAAAACGACCACGGGATATACAATAATTTATTACAGTGTAAAGTGGTTCCATTTTGTGAATCATTTAATATAATCTAATCTAATATAATTCATGTAATAGATATCTGTTAGATGTACGAGTACCTCAATTTGTTCACGATGATCATTTCAAATAGAGGCCTTCTGTTAGGACATGTTTCTAAACACTACTATTAAAATCAGTCTTCAGCTGTTTAATATATTACCGACTATTTTTGTGTCAAGTTGGGTTTTGTAATTAATATCTTACGTTTCGATTTAGAGTACGTTTAAGAGAGTCACTGGTTTTACCAGAATCATACGCAAACACCATCTTCCCCTCTGAGTGCATAGCTTGAAAACGTGAGTTGATTCGATCGCTACCAGATTACTATTCTTCTTACTGTAGTTGTAAAGTTTGTTTTCTTCAAGACCCGTCCCGCAGATCGGGAAATGTGGGTAGGTTTTGGATGCAGAACTAAGAGCTAAAGGGAACGTCAAAGCAGGACGCCTTGTTGGATTGCAGACATCGACCTCGAGACGTTTATAAAGAAGTCTTATTTTCAGCCAGCATCAACACACATTCGGTTTGAAAACAGTATAACAATAATATAACTTAAATAAAAAACAATGCATTCCACAGCTTTGACGTTTTTTCAGGTGTTGAAATATTACAAAAATTACGAAATTAACAAAAAGTATTTAAGTAAATATATAGCGAAAAACTTCGTTGTTACAAATAGCAATCTTGTCAATTTAGATCTCGGAAGATCACCGCATCGTGAGTAAATGTTTGTTTGGTTAATCGTTTCTCGGAGACACACATGTTCGACGGTCCCATACACTATCCCATAAATGTTATATCATGGAAAGTGGTATTCCCCGCAATTACATGAGATTCAATGAGGACCTACATGTCGGCTTGCAGGTTGAACCCCTTTTCAGATATTACCGCGAAACACCACTCATCTCCCGAATGGTCTCACTTCATCTGTGGTAGTACACAAGTTTGTGTACGGGGTGAAGCTATAACAAGGAAGTAAGGGTCCTTTAGGGTACTCCTCCGGCGATGATCATAGAAATAACGGAAAACAACCGATCAGACTAGCTAGCAGATACAATTATCCAGACAGCAAATTAATTCGGCTTCACTACCTACGTAGCTAGTGCCAAAACTCCGCCACCGTCGACCCCAACCCCTGCTGCAGGGACCTCCCGCCCTTAGACGCTGCATTGTAAACGATCTAGCTCGGGTAGTGGGGCGCGGGGAGGGGTTGGAGAGAGCGGACGGGCGAGAAGCTCACCGCTGCGGCGCAGACCGTCCATGCGTTGCTGCAGCTGCTCGTGCAGCTGCTGCTCGTAGTCCCGAAAGGCGCGCTCTAACCGCCGCTCGAGCCTCCGCTCCACGTTCTCTCCCAACTGGCGCTCGAGCCGCCGCTCCAGGCGCCGCTCCATCGCGCTCAACACGTCCTCCAGCCAACTGTCCTGCCCGTCGTCCAGGAGGACGCGCAACGCCTCGTCCGGCGTCGCGGGCACGCGCCGTTCCCCCTGCTCCAGCGCCCTCTCCACGCGCTGCACCTTCTCCGTCATCAACCGCAGGGCCGCGCGCAGGTCTTGCACCTCCTGTCGAGACAACAGTTCCAGCTGGAAGGCTTCCTCGGGCATTGTCTCCTCAACCCTAGGATGCATGGATACGGACATCCGAGGCCCTGCACAATACTCTCTCGAAAATGAACATTCAAGTTACTATTTATTCTTGATAACTTCATTTCTTAAAATTATATAAAAGTCCACTGTCGAAGTTAAGCCAACTATTACTTAAAATTCACAGGACCTGAAATAACGATTGATTGGGCTGAAATACGTTAATCAGGCCCGAAATACCATAATCGAGCCTTACAAGCCTTGCATATTGACAGATGTAATATCAAATTTCAGGATCTACCAATATAACGTCTTAAACGCATTTTTCCCTTGCCTGTGACTAAAATGAAAGTAGAATGATGGAGGAGAGATTAACAGAAGAGCAAGCTCCCAGAAATGTGTAACAGCGCAGAGTAAATAGCGAAATAAAAAACGTTACCGCATTCGAGGCCCTACATATGCATCCTAGGGTTTAAAGGAAACGCTTTTATGCACAGCGTTGAAGTAGAAGGTCTAAAGGGCATACCCTTGTTTCACAATTCATAGTGATTCTCGAACGAGCAAACCTTCCATTATAATCACTCATTTACAGAATTGGATGATCAGACGACGTGGAAACAGTATGCGCCATTAGAAGCATGCATATGAAATGTGTATGAAATAATATGTCACTCCATAGTCGACCGTAGTACACAGCTGAGAAAAAAGCGCGGATTCGCTTATTGCGTTCTTGACGCTCACATTGATTGTATCGACATCCGATTCCCCGTCCTGAACACAACGGTGGACTGTACCGAGGACCTCCTGTTCGCTCTGGAACGAATGGTAGATGGCGAACACACTCAACTTCATTACCGGTGCACGTCTTCTATAGTTCAGTGGGAAATATGGTTATTCAAATTATCGTTCTCCAAGTTGTCGTGGCAGAAGTATATTCCTTTGCGAATGACATGATGAAGAACAAGAACCCGAATCTTTGAAAATAGATTTCATTGCATCAGAGCGAATATTTTGTTAACGGTTTCTCTTCTCCCCCATACCTCACACGCAGTTTTTACCGTTTTTTGACTAAATAAATCTATGTATCTATTCCTTGCCTAAAAACTCTTCCTTTCTGTATTCAGAATTGAACTACTATATGATTTAGGGTAGGGATCCCAGAATTACCAAACCGTGCACTGAATACACTTCTCCACGTAGCACGCCACACAATGTGTGTCTGGTTTTGACGTTAAATTTTAAAAATCACACTGGAGGAGGGGGCAGATCGCGTTGGTTAGAACATTCAACGAAGCAAATGGCTACTCACGCGGCGCCCGTCAGTGTTTGTTCGAGGCTGGTGCTCAGTTTGTACACGCGGACATTAATTCAATTAATTCCATTCACGTTTCATGTATAACCAGGGGATAACCAAATATATATATATATATATATATATATATATATATATATATATATATATATATATTGCATTACAATTTCGCTCAAATTCATTTTTACTTTCTCGTGTACTGCGTAGACGAGAAAAAGTATTCTAATGCTACGGCGAAATCAGAGCTGTCTGAGCAAAATTTCTTGGTGCAATTTACAGTGCATATTGATGCAACTGATTCCGTGGGAAGTAAGTAAATGGCAACGCCTTACATCCTATGCCAAGAGACTTGCTGGCAAGCGTATCTTTTGTTGGTGAACTCTGTTTGAGAATTTGATCAGATGGGGCGACAGTACCTGCGTATCCTGCAGTGGTGAGGGAGGCGAGGGGGGTGAAGGTGGCAGAGGGGGCAAGAGCTGGTCGGGAGGCGCTGCTGGTGCGGCTGGTGCGGCTGGTGCGGCTGGTGCATCTGGTGCGGCTGGTGCATCTGGTGCATCTGGTGCATCTGGTGCATCTGGTGCATCTGGCGCAGCTGGTGCATCTGGCGCAGCTGGTGCATCTGGCGCGGCTGGGTTCTCATTCTGCAGCCGTTGGTAGCCGCGGATCGCATGCGCGTTTCCCATTTTTCGACGTTTGATTGGGTCCAGCTCGGCTCTGCTCAGCAAACTACAGCTCCTGCAACAAACAAGGCAGCAAGGCACAACACCTTGTCATATTCCTAAAGGAAACAAAATAAATCCAAAACAAATCAATGCAGTAGGTCTTTTTAATCAAAAACGCAAGTTATGCACATATTATTCAGTTCATATCCCGAATTTAAAGACAACGGACGTAGATTAGGCCTCGGCACTTCGCGTTCTCGGCGCCAAGAGTGCCACCGTAGGGAGCGTTAGTTTCTGCATTTGCTGAGAAGCGATCGGTGTGTGCCCGTATCTGCGCGTGCCCTTCTGTCTCTGTTTATGTGTGTGTGTCCGTCTGTGTCTCTATGTCTGGAAAAACAGGAAACATTTCCCCACTTCTGTGACCTGATGGTGAAATTTAAAGTTTAACCGTCACAGATATTCAATTTTTTTTTTTTACAGGCGAATTTTTAATCTCGAATAATCAACCGCTCGGACATTCGCTTGACACAGTCGATCAATGCAGTTGGCCGCGAGAATTCACATATAGACAGTAGCTCAATTCGACCTAGCAATGTAACTCGCACCGAAAATCCATTGACATACTCTAACCCCAGAACGTCGCGGTCAGCATCACTGCAGAGAACCACAAGACCCCCCCACTGAGCCATAGTAGCCAGCATAAATCGAGAATTAAAATATTGAATTTTGCAATCCCGAATTTATTTAAAGTTTCAATCAATTGTAATTATTTTCGTAAAACAATACCAGTCAAAGATCTTCCGAAATAGCCAAAAGCACCCAATGAAGGGTAAACCCAGATTCCAGTAAAGAGGCGTCCTGTAATAGATTCGCTAATGCGAAAAATAAAAATTAATTTGAACTATTTGTATTTATAAATTCAATATATTAGAGATGCATGTGATAACTAGTCATTAATTGCAGGTCTTGAAACGATATTACTGAAGAAACTTGAGAAAGAGCCATAAAACAACGAAGATCGCCCAAGAATCAGTTTAGTGTGGCGAATTGAGAGCCCGCAGCCCGCTTGACTCACTCAGCTGGCCGTAGCGGTGCCAGTCCCAGTGCTCGGCGATAAGATCTAAGGTCGGGGCATCTGGCAGTTCGGCGGTTTCCGGCCATGCTTGGCGAAACGTGCTCTCCTGGTTCAGTGGCGAAGTCGCTTGCCTTTCACCACTGAGGTTCCGGGTAAGAATCCCCGTTCAACCCCATGTGAAATTTGTTACGACAAAACGCGTTTGCATGCTAGGCTAGTCCAACCTCTGTGAAGTATCTTAAACCTTACCTCTATCCCAATTCCTTCCCAATTCTGGCCGCTGGGTAGTGACGCAGGAGCGCGAAGTAGGAGGCGCGTACGCGGAGATGCTACCTGGCGGTCCTCTCGAAAACTGACTGCGACGATTAAATAACATAATTTTGATGGAGGAATACTCCCAATGAAGGATTATAAATAAAGCGCGATTATTAATCGAGGATTACTCCCAAGCGCAAAGCGCTCAAGGCCTCCCGGGGCTTAGACACGCGTTGCGTCAATTCAGACGCAACGACTTAAAACACGCGCTATTCAATGTTACCACAACATGAACTGGTATTGCAACTGTAACCGATCGGTGTTCTTAAGTGCGTTGTGTCCTGATTATTGAATGGGTTTACTTAGATTTTGTTAGTGATAAGTATACAATATTTACCATTCATTCTGGGAGAAATTGAAAATATTGCGCTTCGACTAACAAAAACCGTAACATATACCATATAATTAAACATTGCCCTTATTACAGTACACTCAATTTTCTGCAGGAGGACGTATTAGAATCAATTTTTGAATCCCCTAAATTCCAGGGGGGCGGAAATAATACAATTTTGAAAGTAATCTGAAATATTAATCATGTCTCTATACATTCCCAATGAAAAGTTTATCTTTTTAAGACAAAGTGTATTATGTATTAATTGTAACTGCATAAGTGCTTCTCACTGTGGCCCACTTATTGTTATCCCACGCCTTTTACTACTAAATTTTGCTGTTAATACAAGAGTCAAAACTAAGTATTATTGTAAATATGACTGTTATAACTGAACATCACTACACCTGTGACCACATGAAAACTTCAATTGTCGCTTATGACCATGAACGTTGAAGCGACAGTAAATAAACTATAAACTTTTTTTTTTAATTTGAAGAGAAATTTTGGACCGTTCATTACGGCCGTCCTTCCTATCTAAGGCCTACTACTATTCAATTAACAGCCAAAGTTGTTGAAAAACAATGTTTAAACAAGTACATGGTGTTTAATTATCAGCTCTACAAGTGGTTCAGTTGTAGAGAGTAATGTAGTTGTAGCAAAATATTTATTGGTCACGACTTTTCAAAAGGAACAAGGAAAAATTGTGTGTCAACAGGATTTTGTAATTTGAGTGACCTTACGAAATGTGCTAAAGTCAATGAAAAATCCGAAAGCAAAGCACCAGCGTGGTGGGCTTCTATAGTTATGCTTAGTCTGTTTCCTTAGTTCCCGGTAGATTAGGACACAAATAGCTCATTAAAAATTAATGATTCTTTGCATAACTAAAAACTGAAAAAGAACGCAGAAGTCTTGAAACCTTTAATTGATGTAAATGAATTGCTTTCTCGGAAGACATGAACTTCCATTTTGAGGTCACAATGAAATGAATGTCTTTTAATAAAGGAAATTATCGCGAAACTTTGAGTATTTTAAAAAGATAATATCTTGTAGAACATTTTGAAATGCCAACAGTATACAAAGGTACATAGAGTGATCTTCAAAATTAATTCTTATTAGTAATGCATTCAATTGTCGCGATGTCGCGAGTCGAGCAATTTTAAAAGAAATCGAACTCTTATTTTGTTTCAATTATGTTAAATTAAACTCAAGGTTTTTAGATCTCTGTAGACAAAAGTGTTGAGGTATGGCATAAGGAGGAAGAATGCGTTAAGGAAAAATTTATGAAATTATCTGATGACAGTGCTAACAACATCCGATGGGTTACGTTGTGAAAAAAGCAAAAAATAAATCTCGATTACAATTTATTGCTCAAACGTAAGAGTGGCATCAGTTATATAAGGCTGGCTTGCAAACGAAGGTCCAGGATACGTAACCGAGTATTATTTATGCTGGCTATGCTCTTATTTCTGCTACGCACACGTATTAAACTTTGAGCTGTCAAGAGGTATGAATGAAATATCTGAATGCAAATTTTTTTTCTACATAAGCCAGTTATTTTTTCAATCTAGATAAGCCATTCAGGCTTATCTACCCGTATTTCAATTTCCGACAAGAAAACATTTGCTATTCAGGAGCATTTTTAAAAGTCCATTTAATCTTTTTCATTTACTTGATGGATGGTTAGTGAATGCAATTTAAAAGAACAGCGAACCAATTCTTTATTTTGTCCATTATTCGTGAGAACTATTACAACCGGAAGGGACCGGATAAATGCAGACGTTAATGGAGAAGTGGAAATTTTGCGAAGCTCTCAAACTGTTTTTACTGAACACATTTACTCCTTATTTTCGAAGCACTGATGCAATTTTTTAATGTCCAGAGAGAAAATGTAGATATGTGTTTAAATGTAATTAGAGATTTTGAAGATGACTAAGTTTGTTAGGAAAAGATTTGTTCACTATAACAATTGTAATAAGTTGGTGGAATAAACTAGTTCAGAAGAGAAGAAATATGAAAAGTTTAAAACGATTGGTTTCGAAATAGTGAGGGAAAAAGTGTTTCTGTTACAGTTTCTCTTCTTCCTTCATCAGAAAGGTCAATGAAATGAGAGATCATTCATCTTCAGAAGAAAACTACAGAATATTATATTTTGCAATTATTAGCAACCACACGTGTAATGTCGTTGAGAGTTTTGCATCATAGTAGAAATTGAAGTTCTTTGAACTTTCAAGGTAGCTGCCTACCTTATATCAAGAATATTGTTTCTATTCAGTTTTCTCTTATACATTTGATTTCTTCATGCCCTTAGAGATCATATAATTTCAATCTTATCGATTTGTTTATAATTAATTGGCCAAAAGTGGGTTTTTACTTCAGACATCCTATCTCCACAACAAAATGATGTATTTTGATAATTGTTTAAAAGTATATTCTAGACATTTATGTTGTTTAAACAAACTTTTAGTAATACATTAACTATTCTAGTTCATTGAATGTATTGAAAATACCAAATACAGGAACATGCATCTGAAGTTCACTCACTAAAGGCTTGACAACTGACAATAAGGAACAGGGCACTTGCGCACTCGCTTCGAAAAACATTTTTTCAAAAACAAAGAAACTTCTAAATAAATTTTTTGAAGCATTTAAAAGAGTTAAACAGCACATCACTGGATCGTCAGACTCGCTTCTCGGAAGTGCTGCTGAGTGGAGACCTGTGAGGGGGCCCTAAGGTAACATGTTAAAAATGTAAGGATGTTTACATGCTAGTTGTCAATGCCACTTTCGTACGACTTCTTTTAGACCTTTTGATTTATTTTAGAATTTAAAGTATATGAATTCATCTTTTGAACATAGAATCTGAATTTTATATGCATATCGCCAATTTGGAAAATTCCCTTTCTCTTTTTTGCTTTCTCTCTGCATCGATATTATTCAAAGTAAGTCTGTCAGACATCGCGAAAGGCTCCGAAGGACCAGGGATGCGCTGATCAGATTGTTCGTGACAGCCTGACTAGGGTATAACCCAGGGCCCGGCAACTCTCCATCAAAACTGGGGCCAAAGCTCGAGGTTGCTACTATAGGAAGCGCTAGTGTCGCTGGCTGCAGCTGCAGGTTAGCCTCGCGAACTTTCCCACATACAAATTGGCTAAGTTGTGAGAAATACGAAAAGTGTCTTCTAAATGTTCAATTGTTCATAATCCATACTTATAAGAAACATCTTAACTTACTTATAAGAACATATGTTATCTTTTGTAACATTTTGGGCCTGCTTGCGACCCGCGAACTCACGCAGCAGCCACGCACGTTTAAAGTATCGTTGGCAGCAGTTCGTAATTTAGTTCCTGTAAAG